AGAACTGAACGAGTGATATGACGAGATACACCAGCTGACCAGTAAACGCGCATACTCGTAAGGACAAATATTAGTTAAATGATTACGACAACTCTTGGGATATGGAAGAAAGGTAGTGGCAGAGAGAAGAAACAAGCGACGAGGAAGATACAGCTATGAAAGCCGCGAAAGGGCAGGAGGAGGAAAGTAAAGACAACGAAGAGGAAGACGAGCACCGACAGAGCGAGAGGACGAACAGAAGAAAAGGCACCGCTGAAGACGACGTGGAGGAATGGCGACAGAAACAGCCCAAACGCCGCGACGCGCCGTGCCGCGCCGCGTCGGCTGCAGGCGCAGCGCCGTCTATTTGAAATTCAAATCGCACGATAATCCGAATCGAATCTCGGGCGTAGCGATATAGGGAAATACACTTTCCGCGCGGCCTGTGTCTTCCGCTGGCGGCGGCGCGACGCGGGTTCATTTCTAGAGCACCCGCCGCGCCGCCGCGCCTGAGGGAGCGCCGCCTGCTTGCTCCAACGCAACGCGACGCGATGCGATGCGATGCGATGCGACGCGACGCGACGAAGCCGCGCGCCCGACCACTGTCGCATTCGGGGAGCCCACGCCCCAGTTCGTGACAGGCTGCAACGAATCGACACGCGGAAGTGCCACCGAAGCGCACCCACACCTCACTCGGCGTTTCTCTACGACGCACAAGACTGTCAGGAAGTGATCGTGAATTTTACTTCGTACATTCATGAGTATCATTGATTCTGTACGCATTCTAAACGCATTAATGCTCGTACGTACTCTGATTCTTGTAAAACTCCAGTTCATTAAAAAATATGATATACATATACAACAGAAGAAATAAAAGGGTACTAAAACTACTTCATTTTGTTCTCTTTGACCGATTCAAAATTTGCAAAGCTAAACATCCTAGTAGGCGTGTGGTTGTTAGGGGCGCACTTTAGAAAGGAAATAGGCTACATCACAAACCACATCCCTCAAATTTCTAAATATCCAGTCATTAATTTTTTTAAATTTTTATACTCATTATTCAATTATTGCAGCGAAGGACAAAATATCCAAAAAAATTATAAACAAATTATTTTCAGTAAGCAAACACATATGTGGCACAAATCTCAATACCAATACTAGAATATTAAAGGAAAAATATAAACATAAAGAAAATAAATTAGTTTCACTTTATCGAATTTGAAATTTTAAAGCGAAATAGTTTATATTTCTAGTTTTATCTCACTAAGTGGTCCCGTGCAACCCCAGAACAAACATTTTCCCCAGAGTTCATAAGCGGAAAGAAGACTGATATATAGACTCCAAATGTAGACAGGTAAATAATTTTCGCAATTGAAATAATCATCGACTATTGTTTTCAAAAAGCAAATGCATATAGCTTGCGGACGTGGCGAATTCATTATGATTGCCGAGTCCGATAAAATAAATAAAAATTCGTGGAGGAAAATTGATAGAGAACGTCAGAGAACAAACGTTCTTAAAAGGGGTAATACCTTAATGATCGCAAAAAGCATCGAATAAAAAATACTTCATAATGACAAAGATTACAGCTAAAAGAATGCCACGAAATTTGACCTTTTCCATTCTATCAAGGCTGGCCAAAACGCAAAAAAGTAAACACACAAAATTTTATTTTTAGTGTATTTATTGGAGAAATCGTGTATTCATGATATTTATGAACACCTTTATATATTTACTTACAATTGAGATAGAAACGTATTTATAAAACCACACATTTGCGCTTGAAAGTTTGAGACTTCAATCTTCACACATCTACCGCACGAAACATTTCCTCCTGGGATATGTTACGGCATTACACATCACTACACTGCATTTCAACAACTTCTGGATTTGAAAGGCATTTGCCGAGCCGCACAAGCACAAAAATCGTGATTATGTCAGCGTTCCACTGTACCGGCCCGCAACGTTCCATGAACCCCGAAGAAAAAGAAATATCGCTTTGACCCAGCCAGCTAGAACGAATTTTAAAACTTTTAAGTTGCAGCGGAGCAAAAACCCGTTAACGCAATTCCGTGCGGCTCATGGCGCCCAAGAGCGGATGCCGCCCGCCCGCCCGCGCGCGCCGTCGTGCCGCCCGATCGGAAACGCGGCCGCTTTGTGCGGGCAACCCCGGGCGGGGGCGGG